AAATCATTTCGTAGGAGGGCAATCTTGTTCAGTGGTCAAAAGATTGAGTATCCGAGCTGATTCTATCACGAAGGTGGCTTGAAAATCGCGATGTTTACGGCCAACTTTAATTATACGCAAGGCATCCTTTCTTTTCCTATCAGTTCTGAATTGGGAATGTGTGCTATGGGCCCGGCCTATGCATTGGGGCCTTGATGCAGCGACGTTTATCGCGGCGGACTAGTGTCGACGGAAATTCAGTTTAGCTCATGGCTCGTCATCTATGGAGAGTGGCCCCAATTTCTTTGCCTTACTTTGAAAGGCTGAAAAGTTGTTTTTGATGAATTGGTGCGACCAGTCCACCACTATGAATGTAAGAAAGTTAGCAAAAGCAGCAAAATCGGTCCCTTTAGGGGTATAGAGTGAAATGTGATAGATCAGAACTCACACCATGTGGTACTTTTACTCGACTTCGGCTGGTAAGGAGTATGAGTGTTTCCTTTCTGGTAGACGGTAACGTGGCATTGCCAAACGCCAGCATCTTCATCAACATTGACAGGACGAATTTCCATGACAAAGTCACCAGTTAATTCATCATAGTCGAAGAAATATCGGCCGTTGTTGAGGAGGACACGAAGAACAGTTTTGCCTGAATAGTCACTTCAATAACATTTCAAACCGTAGGTGTTCATGAAGTATGTATTGAGGGATCTAGGCTCTATTCTAAACCCTACCAGCAACGACGCGTTTGGTGAACGTTGTCAAGCGGTTGAAAATCTTCTTCTCTCCTGCTTCAATCTTGAGCCATATTGTGTCGTTGAGTGTCCACGTCACTTCTATTCGTACCTAAATTTTCTGAAACTTGTTCAGAGCCTTCTTTTTACTTATTGAATGACAGGCGCGACTGACGTTGTCGTTACTGGCATCAGCGACGTGTGGACAGTTGAGCGAAAATGACTCGTATTGATCGGAGTGAGTATTCGTGGTGGTAGAAGCGGCTGATTTGTAGGGCGAACTGTGTTTCTCTGAAATGAATGTATCGGCTCACTAATGGAGGCATATGAATGAGCCCTTATCACTAATTTCCTGAAGAAAATCTTACGCAAATGAGGCTTGGGGGCAACTCGGCTTTATCATTGTATTTTATTGAAGTAATTTTTTGCAGTAGCATTTTAAACTCGTCATTTGGAAGGGTGCAATTGCGTTGGGGATGGATATGATCCCTGGATTCTTAGACGTGCCATGTGTTCTGGCTAAGTGCGCTAATGCCGCTGTCGCGCATTCAGGCCTCAATTAGGTGTCGCGTGCGCGAAATTGATGCCCATTGTCTTTTTATTGAGAGGGTGGTTGATTGAGCTAACGAATGTCGTACTCTTGCCTCTAGGTTGCTATCTTGATCTCCAAAAAAACATTATACGGAGGATTACCTTCTTGTCTGAGTGATCATACTCTATTAAGAAGGATCTCTCTTGTCTTTACTTTTAGGGAGAGAGATGCGCGAATGTTGCTATTTAGCTCTTGTTTTAGTTTGTGCTTGAATAATCACTCTAGCCGTTGTCTTCTCAATCCAGTGAAGAGTGGCTCTTGCAGCCCCGTCCCACTGACAAGACCAACTGAGACAAGGCGAACCAAAAGTGTAGTAGAGAGTCTTGATTAGTGTGGCTAGTGAATCTGCACTGCTGCCACATGGGTGGCAAAAATCTAGTGTTATCATGAGGCAACCCACATCACACTACGGAGAGAAGTCAATATACAGGGGGGGGGGCAAAAAAAAAAGTCACTCCTACTCACATTCAAAACAGAATTAATTACACTTTGCCAAAACCAAACCGAATGAGCTCAATTGCATATTGAAGAGCACATTCTATTCTATCAAAAACATTGCATAGTGGCCTTCTAAACCGACGACACCAGAAGATTTTCCCACGGAAACATGGTTCGCGGTACGAGCTCAACGGGGTCGTCGAGAAACCATAGATGATTACGACGTCTCTGAAACGCTGGTCAAAAGCCATTTTGCATAGTCAGAGCTAGTGTCTCTAAGAAGTCATTCACCAGTTATCCGATTGAAGAATTTATGTAGCAGCTTCAGAATGGAGCGATTATTGTAGGCCTCCTTAAGCTCGACGGTGATGACAGATGACGTCATATTCTGGAGACGGTGAACGCAGCGAAGGTGGGCCTGATTCTGCTTATGGGGGGACATCTAAGGAATAATTTGCCGTATAACTCCCAATAACAGCGGCATCCTTTGCGACGAAAAGTTTGATGATATGCGCCATAGGCAAAGTGACTCTTTTTTTTTGCCCCCCCCCTGTATACGGGTCTAATGAAAGGTCTGCTGTACCGGTCCCCCTCTCAGAATGGCTAACTTTTTCAGATTATCGTTCCCAGTTCTACCATGCATTAAATTTGATTGAGCATAGATTATTTTCCGTGGTGGGTATTGCCAGTAATGCTGGGTGGAACTTCATCCCATGTAGTAGCATGGCATATGGGTATCATACCACTTGGTAACATCAATGTTTGGCGTGATGGTTCCGCTTGAGTGAAATATGTTCTCCGTCTTTAACATCTTTGCTCCTCTGGGTATGGGTGTTCCTGTTTTCCGCCAAGGCCGGAGTGAGAGCGATTCTGGCTGAAAGTCATGAATGCTGTTCATGCTGCTCCTTCTACCTCCAAGATTATTGTTGGACTCGCTGCTCACTCCATCGTGGAAATCTGCTGGAGTTAGCGCGCTTGTGTATTTTTTAGAAGGATTAGAGCGGTGCAGTTGAAAAAGCCTCTGGCTATTAGTATACTTGAGCGAGAAAAAGTGAGTTGAAGAGAACATTAGTAGGTAGTAAGTTGCTTTTACTTACTTTTCTTTCAAGTTTCCGTGCTTATGGCGTTGATCTGGTGCTCAACAATCATTGGCACTCACAAGAGTGCATAATAAATAAAAAATAAATACGTAAAGCTATTGAGAACGTTGGTTTTGTAAGGGTTTGCATTGTTTGGAAATGGAAGTGGAAGCATTAGCGGGCAAATTAAAAGGTTTCATAACACAGAAGAGGAAGCAGTTGATAGAGGTTTAGCTCGTTTTGCTTCTCATAAATGCTTTCATGTCGGCATGTTGGTTCGTAATCCCCGAGGTGGTCCTTATTCATGCGAAGCGAGACGACAATCTAAGTGTTATTATATGCTCATGCTGCATGGAAATGTGCCCATTACGCCGTGGCTTCCATTACTCGGCAGACATGCGACAGGCTCATTTCAACATTCCGACGGTTGTCACGAACACTCATCTTTAAAAAAAGGTTTTGCTGCTCTCCTGAGCGAGATTTATTTCCACGCCGGTTGGAGAGTGAATATTTAGCCTATTCCCAAAATTAGCTAAACACATAATGTTTTGGAGCCCAGAGTTCGTAAACTGCGGCGTGTTTTTGTTGTTTACTTGATGACTGCTGCGTGGTAGTTATGTAGCAGTGAATGATCAGTGGAGCAACGTTTGCGTGGTAATTTATGGCCGAACATTGACCTGATAAATGGCTTCGTTGGCATGGAGTGGGTAGTTATCATAATTCTCGCGAATAGATAGCGTATAGCTAGCTGTCAGCACCCCTCCATGTTCCGTGGTGACCCTATTGGCGCGGTTTTATGGTGTGTTTACTACCTTACCACTTATTATGTTCGAAGTGATAAGCTTGTTTCGCCAATGATGCACTTTCCCTTACGACTGGCCATCGGGTCGCATGCGATGTGTGGCGTGTGGAGAATTAGTGCGAAGATTAATAAATTGTCATGAAGCTCTCAACCAGTGTAATTTATCGGCGAAATGCAGTGGCAGCAGAAGGTCCAAGACCTGGACGCGCTTTTGTTGGCTGGCGATCGATGGGCCAGTGATCGAAACAAAAGGCCATTGTGTCATAGGGTTTTGTCATGAAATACGGAAGAACAGCGCTTTCGAAGAGTGCAAGTTTTGTACACAAGGAAATGTTGCGTATCCAAACGGAACCACAACGAGATGTGTAGTAGGTTGAAGAAGATCAGTTTATAGTTAGCGAATGGCAAAAGTCTAGTGACAAGAGTAAAGAGATTTCCCACTCTTTTGGTTCTGAAGTAAGCAAACCAGCCCTTTTGGCGTTTCTGCTGGGGCCGTATGCTGAATGTTGGGGAGGGGATGGGGTCCCCGACGGTCGACGGACTACTTCAACTCGGTCCTTAAAACCGCCTCAATTTGATGCTTACCTCAGGACTAAGCCTTAAAGTCCAAGGCTTAGTCCTGGGGTAAGCAAACCAGCCCTTTTGGCGGAGCTGCTGGACCTAGCTGCACCACTTCGTCATCACTCTCCTACCGTACCGACCGAGTTGAAGTAGTCCGTCGACCTCGGGGACCCCATCCCCTCCCCAACATTCAGCATACGGCCCCAGCAGAAACGCCAAAAGGGCTGGTTTGCTTAATTCTTTGGTTCTTGATCGTTTCGGCCAAGTTCAAGAATTTTGACTGGAGGTAATCTGTAGACAGGTAGAAAATACGGACTGGTTTTTCCCGAAACGCAAGTATAAGTTGTGAACAAGTTTGATTACTCTCACGTACAGTTTGCTCAGTGGGTGATCTCCAGCTAACGTAAAATGTGGGACGTTCGTGAATTGGTGAAGGCGGCTTGAATTTCAAGGTTCGGTTCATTTGAATAGTCGGAGAACATCTTGCGTTTTCGTAGTTGATGTTTTGGTTGTGTCTGTTTTGCGCACAGCATTCTTTGCAGCTATTGTAATCGAATGCCCTGCGCGCTGTCCATCCCGTTAGCGAAAGAAAAGCAAAGCAGTCCAGCGAAAATATTTCGAAAAGGTACTATGACTGGCCAAGGGAACATTTATGTTGTTTTTTCGAACTCAAAATTCTAGACAAGATTCCAGTTTTCCGTGCGAGTTCCTTGAATCCTTTGTACGCTGTTTTCTGCATGTCAGATATGGCGCAAGATTGATGGTTGGTGTTACTCCGAGGAACTGGTGAATAGCAAGTAGTAATACACTGCTGTGCAAAACTTGAAGATGACATAGATGAAGTAGCATAGCATAATAATCCGATGGAACTGATTTACTATGCGGACACTATGCTACCCTCTCTCCATATAGCGCAGCAATTCTAGGGCGGTCCTAATCATCAAGCTTCTTACTCGATACCACAACATCATGCAACTTACTTTCATCTTCCACTTATGCGCATCTATCATAGTTACTATTATACAGGTACAGTAGACTACTCCAAAATTGAGCCCATCCTTCAAGGAGCTGGACAAGCAACTTTAATATCATTGGATCAGGTCGCACTGTTAAGATGTGCTGCAACTTCCTGCTTGGTCGCGCTTGAGCGTGCCTTCGCAACTTTATGAAGAACCAGAAGCTATGGTATTTCTAATCACAGAAAAGAAGGGTCCCCTACCTCGAGCATGTCGTGTGCGATGGTAGTGATGGCTCGTATTCGACGAATATTCTTCAACACTGAACTCAAGACACGTGGCTGTGAAGTGGGCGAGTAGTACAACGAAAAACCCGTAGAGAGAGAAGAGTTGATGGCTGGGAGCGAGTCGGCAGCGCTTCAGCGGCTCAGCCTGTAACGGAATGGCGTTGAGGTGACGCGAAAAAAGCTTTGTGAAGTGGACGGGACGTGGGAAAATTCTAGGACAGATGTGAACAGAGTGAGCACGCATGGCTAGCAGTGGTCGTTAAATGCACAAGCAAACGATTTGCTAATTTGATATTCTCATGCAAACGGTGAATGAAGCACGCACATACCATGGCTTGATAGGATGATTTGCCCTCACGAGGGTCACATGGAAGAGCTGCAGCTGTGGTGGATTCGTGTCTATCTGCAAAAATGTTTAGAATGATGCGTAAATGTCAAACATGCCGGTAATAATTGGACAGGATGCTATTTATGAGTACAAACGGTTTCAACCCATTGGAGACCCACACGTTTTAGGCATGGTAGCCGTGCAGAACTTCTGTGAAAATTTTAGAAAGCTTATTGAGCGAAAAGAAGATCCTTCGATCTGGAGAGAGATTTTTGAAGTAGACAAAGTGAGAAATGCAGGAGAAGGTGAAGATCTCTGGCCAAAAAATGGCTCGCAAAGTCCTTTATGGGCGGTAATCTGCAGCTATAGGCTGCATGCTCTCCAAAGTGCCCAATGACGTTCTGCCATTCTATTTTGTTTCGTCTACTCCCAATGTTCTCAATCTACAATGAGAACTCTCGCCACAACTGGTAACACGCATTGGTGTATGGGTATGAAAGGAGACAGTTGTTGAAGGGGGTACGCACGTTGTGAAGTAGAGGTGGGGTCGAAAAATGAATTGGGAAGAAGTGTTCAAAGCAAGCAACGTGAGCATCAGGCGGATGCGCCATCCAAATGTTCTGAAGCATGGGTGGCGTTTCTAGGCCACGCCCACGCCAGACTGACT